CATTACCCACAGCTAAAGGAAAGAGATACTTCTGTCTTTGTTCCAACTTTGAAACTGCAGTAGCTTTCCACTTGAAATATTGTGGCAGTATGTGTATTGTAGGTGTAAGATAAGATAAGATAAGATAAGATAAATAAGATAAGCCTTTATTTGATAATGTAGTGTCATATTTACCTATTAGAATGTAAATAATTTTTAGATAAATAATACTAAATTTCAGGGTTTTTCTAAAGCTAAATGTAAAAAATATTCAGTATAACTGAGGTGAAAAGAAACATACTAGCGTTCGGATTTTTTTAAACTACTTTTTTCCTGACATCAAAACCTGATTCCAGATTATTGCTAGAGCACTTGAAAGTTTTTAGTCATTCTGAAAATTATGACGCTGCTAAAAAAAAAAAATCTCCAAAAAAGCACTTTCAGCCGTCACGTCACAGACAACAGACATGTAAATCTGAAGCTATTTCTTTTCTTACCTGAGCACCGTGTGACTTCTCCATCACTCAGACACAGCATCACCATCCACAGGACCCCCACTCTCATCGTGTCCTCCTAGTGGTCGGTATTTGACAGTAGTTTGTAACGAGGAGTTCTGTCTCCTGCAGAGTGCAACGTGATTGTCTCCACCCTCAAGACCCTCACTGCAGCAAGGCTGGTCACAGTTGTACCACAGCAAATATCTCTGCTCTGAGACGCTCAGAGAGGCTGAAGAGAGAATGTGTGACTTTAGCTGAATCAGATAAGAACACTTCCTGTGTGAAGCTGTGAAACTATATTACGCACAGTGTACCCACGTGTGAGCACACACTAAGAGATACGTGAGCCTGCAACCATGACACAAATGCATAAACATGTACATATGTTTTTATACATTTACAAACATACATGAATGCATGTCAACATGCTTGTACCATATATATGCACTTCCTCTAACATGCAAAACATGCAAACACGGCCTCCCTTTACACACACACACCACACACATACACATAAAGTGCAAGGATGTGACACCACAGTGATACCCACATGCAGCTGAAAGATTTTGATTTTTTTCAGGAAAAGCCTTCAGAGCATGAACATGAACTGACATTCAAAAGGCTGCATTCAGTTCAAATCTGTCAGTGTTCTTTGTGTTTTTATGTAATATGTAGCCAACATTAACTTTGATTTACAGTGCCGTCCACAATGTTAGGAAGAATATCCACCAGTTACAATACATATTACATTCTGTACTCCAAAATAAAAATACATGTGGTTAAAATATACATTCTCAGATTTTATTAAAGGGTACATTGTGGTTTTACAGTGTAGAAATGTCAGCAGGATTTACACCATAGTTCACCCATTTCCATACACCACAATGTCTGGGACACATGGCTGAGCAGGTGTTTGCTTAGGTTGCCTGCTCAGTGCAGGTACTGTAGCTACAGGACAGCAAAGACTCTTTCCTCTAGTCTCTGAATCGCCTCTGGAAACTGTTGCTTATGTATATGAGGACTGAAGCTGTAACAATGAAAGTCAACTGAGACACAAGCCTAAAGTTTGGCTGACCAGAATCAACTCTATCAAACATACAGCAATAATACTGGTGAGCTCACTGAGTGCAAAGAGACTGGCAGGCCAAGGACTTGCACAGCTGGAGACAGAAGAATTTTCTCCATAATAAAGCAAAATGTGGCTGCAACACTGGCCAAACAGATAACTAGCATGGAATTGAAACATCCCAACTCCCCACTCATTGTTCTAGGGAATTTAAACAAAGCAAATCTCACCCATGAACTGCCCAAAAACAGACAGCACGTCAGTTGTCCCGCCAGCGATAAAAACACATTAGACCACTGCTACATGGCAATAGCGCCTATTGCTCTGTCCCCCATGCAGCCCTCGGTCTAATACCAACATATAGGCAGAAGCTTAAAGCTTCAAAGCCTGTGGTCAAAACAGTGAAGAGATGGACCAAGCGGGCAAAGTCAGGGCTACAGGCCTGCTTTGACTGCACAGACTGGGGTGTATCTGAGGCTGCAGCTACAGACCTGGATGAACTCACCGACACTGTGACATCTTACATCAGCTTTTATGAGGACGTGTGTGTGCCCATCAACTTCTACACCAACAACAACAGTAAAAGTCAAGCAGCTTCATCATGCCAAAGAGGAGGCCTAGAGAAGTGGGAACAGGTCCCTCTATAACCAGAACCCCCACCTCGCCTGAGACCCAGCAGCTGCTCCTCCCATGATTAACACCCTTCCCCCCAGCCCCCCATCCATTAAGGTCTGTGGGAAGGATGTGTGTGGCCTTTTTAAGAAGGAAAAGACCAGAAACCCAGACGGTGTGACCCCTGCCGGTGTGGATCAGTTGGCCCCCCATCTTCACACAGATCACTGGAGCCCCTCCTGCTTCAAATGCTCCACCATCATCCCAAAAAACAGTTTCAACTCCTCCCCTCTGGACAGTGCTACAGGTCACTGTACTTGTTTGTTGTTTACTTATTTATTGCGTTATGGAAGAACATTGTACATGACCATTGATAGCCACTGCACTGGTTCTGATTCTGATTCTGAAGGCAGTAGGGGATGTCCCACTTCGAACTGACTGCACCTCCAGATGAAAAGTCTGCCTCTGTGTCTGTGAGCTTGTTTTTCTGTTTGCATACTTTGTGGTTCATCACACTCACTTTCAAAATGACGTCTTTGTTTGACACAGAGTCTCTGGGTATTGAAACCTCAGGATGACTTAAAGCTGTGGTTGAGGTTTTTGATTTGAATGATTTTTACATGAATTTACAGGGAAAGGGTAAAAACCCATGACGGTTGACAGGGAATGTTGTCCCCACCTACTCAGTGCAAAACACAACACGTGCACCCACACACAAAAACTGGGTGTTATTTTTTTATTTACAGCTGCAGCCCGTGCACCTCTTCCTTCCGCTTTGCTGTCTGCCTAGTTGTTCTGCTGTAGGATGCCCTGTGCACACTCACATGCATGTGTGCAGGATTCTATCACTCTGGCTCTTTTCAAATAAAACAGGCTACTAAACCCTGACCTGCAGAGTCTAACTGTCTTAGTAGAGCAGCCCAAGATTTACTGCTGGTTATGGACAGAGAGGGAATTAAATATAGTTTACAGACAGCACACACGCAGTGGTCATTTTATTAGGTACAACTAATGCAGTCAAATACAACAGAGCAGCAATGAATCCTACCTTTCAAATGTATGATCAACTAGGAGCATTTTAGTCTGTGGCTCTGTTTACAGAGTGGTTATTCATTATGATGTGTTTGTGTTATTTAGTCACCAAAAGTAAAAATGATAACTTTCATGAAGATAAGATTAATTGCAGGACTTGTATTAAACTGCATACATTTTTGTTCTGTGCATGTTTATATTAAAGGAATTCATAGCTCTTAAATTTCTCTTTAATGATATAGATTTGTCCATTAGAAACACTGTAGCATATGATCTATTATTCATCCAGTATTACAATAGCAGATACAATAAGGGAATGTTAGGGTTACAAATAGAAGGTTTTTGGTTTCACACCTTTGCCACTGAGAAAATGACATTTGACAGTGTTGCCACTAAACTCATTTTTCATATTTGGGCTGTACCACTGTGATTAAACCACAACTCCACACAAAATACTGTTTGCTTTCTATAGGATTTGGATGTTTGATCTCCACTGTGCACAATTATGTATGTGCAGAGTTTGACACAGATAACTGTTCTTTTCAAATTTAAAAAATAACTGTAGTGTCCTACAATAAATTTTGGATTTTTTCAAGGTAGAAAGGATGTATTTTAATTTAATTTGAACATTGTTTCTAATGAATTGTGTGAAAACTGCAATGCTGTGTAAGTTCAGATATTTAAGTTTGATGTTCTGTATTTGGGATAACTCATAATACATTTATTTAAGATTTGAAAAGATTCTACTTATGTTGCATTTTTGTAAACACTGTACAACATGTCAACAACAGGCTCCATGTTCACCGCTGCTCCACTGCTGGCACACATGCATCATCTACACAGGCAGCATAAAACCACTAGAGGTCAGACTTTGCTACAAAAAAGCAGTTTAATTACTGGACTGAGCAGACGTGTGTGTGTGTGTGTGTGTGTGTGTGTGTGTGTGAGTAGCAGACTTGTATGGCTAGATACTGTGAGGACCAATGTGAGTTTTAGACCATGGAAGTGAGGACATAGATCATTTTAACTTTAATATCAGAACAGACAATGTAGGCTAATAGAGTCTAATGGGAGTAATGAATAGAATAGAATAACTTCATCCGGGATAATTGCTTGAGGCTGATTTGGGTTGGGCAGCACAGGAAACAAGGATCCGGGAACGCGCGGGCATGTGTACGCGCTCACGCTGAGGTTTTTGGGATAGGATGTGGAGCTGAGGGCGCGTCAACTGAGACTTTTAACAAACCGGAAGTGAGGAAGTTTCAGCTTCAGAGTTAAAGACCAACAAATTTGAAAACATTTACATTACAGGTCACAAATACTTTGCTCTCTTTTAAGAAGTCAAAAGCAAAAAGACTAGGAATCGCACTTATAGGCTGTTATTACACACAACTAAAAATATGGGACTTAGCAATAAGCCCAGAGGGTAGGCTAGAAAAAAAGATATTAAGGACATTTTGAATTAAAAATGTGTTGCTTAGAGACAAATGAACAAAAGTAGGTAAGGCTGAGCTATGGTAATAGAAATCTACTGCAGCCCAATAGAGTAACATTATAGTCTAATCGTCAGTTTTTACTTGTAAAGTTCAAGACAAATCACAAAATAGCTTCAATGGGCTAGATCCTAGAATCGGATAAAAAAAACTGCCCCTAAAAATACTTTAATGGGAAAAAAGATACTAGCGTCTTAAAAATATATAAAATAAGACAAAACAATCCAATGAAACTGCGCTTAGTTAATAAGTTTAGTATTTTTATTTTGTATAGTTTACTGTGATTAATAAGGGTGTTGTTTTAACGTATCTATTTATATTCATTTCACAAAACTGTTACTAGGTTAGTACGAGGTTCTATTGTGAAGGTCCCGCCCGGAAGTCCATGCTTCCTGTCTCTACCTCAGGGTTCGTGCTTTTGGGATTCAGTGTGGCAGCAGGGGAAATCGGGGATATTTGGGAACGGGGAGTCGGCGAAAACCGGGACTAAGTCGGCAGAAATCCCGACGAAGCCTTGACCACTACACCGCGGAGGTTCCCGCCGGACACCTCTCCTCCGTCCCCCGCTGCTGGCTGCGGTTTTTCTCCCAGAAATCTTCCGCACTGTAAGTAGCCCGATTTCCCGTCACCTAAACGCATCTCTATCCCAGCACATTCACCCTGCTTTCTCATCTCCTCGCTGCTTCATCATGGAACAGTTAACGGTTCTCGGTTAAAACCGCAATATTTAGACGTGTTCTTTGTGGCAAACAGAGCGGATCCATTAATTAATCTCCGCTGGAATAAAAGATAATTAATCCCTTCAGTGGCTGCATGTGTATGCAGAGAAAGGAGAAGGGGTGGAGGGGACTTGGCGACAGAGAAAACGACCAGCTTCACAGAGAAAGGCTTTCATTCACCCCAGTCGGGTGAATGCATTTCAGCGGCGGCTGCAGATGCTCTCATGTGGCTTGGGAGCGAACGTACTCACTGTGTATGTGTGTTTTGTCGGTGCTGGATTAAACGCCGCGGGGCCTGCAGAGCACACACTCCCGGCCTGGATGCGCAGGTTCGCCAGGGAGCAGCCGGCTGACAGCGCCTTTCCATCCGGAATATTTGCGTTCACTGCTGCAGCTCGCAGGCCGGGCGCGCTGAGGCGTGGCATCCATATGTATTACACAGCTATGGGCGTGTTCGCCGCAGCTGCCAAACAACTCACTTTTAAAACGTGTAGTTGATAGATATCACATTATAAACCTCACGACATCATCTTGCGATGTTTTATTTTACATCTTATGTTCATTAATAAGCAGGCCAGATTATCTTATTTAAAAGCCATTTAAGATTCAGCATCATCAGACATGCGGGCCTTCTGCCTCTCTACTGGTCCACCTGCCTCCTGATGAGACTTCCGTCCACTGGTTGTGCAGGCTGCCTCACTGTCTGACTTTTTGTAGGTAAACCTTTCTTATTACCATGGCTTCTTGCATCACTACAGCAACAACACGCATTTAAACTATTTTGTGTAACAAACAATATAATATTTACCATGATAACACGGTTGGTCATTCACCTATAAGTGAACTGGCTGGTGCACTGCCACAGGTCACAGGATCTGATGGCCACAGAATAAGGTGCAACACCAAGAGTAGGCTGAGGCCAAGCACTCATCCTTGTCAAGTTAGCAAAAATAATTCTAGTTCTTATTAAAACATGTCAGAGGCAAGAAAATTTACCACGAGTGCTGGCCTGAACCATCACATTGTTTTGTTGATTTCAGAACAGTTAAGCTAGTCTGCCATATTTGCTTACGAATTAAGACAGCATTTTTTTTCAATCTCTATTGATCAGTAGTAGGTAGCATAGCATATATTGCATCAACGTTAATGAGTTATTATGAGTTTGTATTTGTCTTTTGTTATTTGGCTGCGTATGTCAGAGAGCCCAAAGAGTGTAATCTAAACAGAGAATATGAATAACAGATTTGATGAAGGATTTTAGCATGACACTTCAGGAAGCCAGGTATTGTACCAACTTGAAACCGGATCCAAAACCTTCCGGTGCCGACAGCGATGGCGACCGTGGTTACTCGCACTCTCTTGTGTTTGTTGTTTTTCTTTGTTTTGTTGGTCCTTTCCAACTCATCCTGGATTACTTTTACCAGAGAAGAACTGTTAAATATGGACAAATCACACCAAACTACCCTCCTCCGATTTTTGTGAACGAAGAATGCTGTATGGACATTCTGATCGGAGGCGCAGCAGCAATATACGGGACCTGGAAAAAATGCCGCCGGCGTGGAAAACGCTCTGGCACTTTGGTGCGGCTACGTCAGAGAGGAACTCGGACCTCACTCCCATCTATTCACCTGGCTAATCTCCGCTCACTGGTCAACAAAATGGATGAAATTCTTCTCGTCAACAGGACTAACTCTGACTTTGCACGCTCTGCTGCTTTGTGCTTCACGGAGACCTGGCTCAGGGACTCCATCGCGGACAGCGTGATTCAAGTACCGGGCTTCCAGGTGCACAGAGCGGATCGTGTAAAGGAGCTGTCCGGGAAAACGAGAGGAGATGGAATCTGCTTGTACATAAATGAAGGTTGGTGCACAGATGTCACAGTGCTACAGAGGACATGTACCGCAGACCTAGAGACTCTTGTTATCAACTGCAAACCCTTTTACTCTCCCCATGAATTCAACAGTTTCATGCTAATGGGAGTGTACATAACACCGCAGGCTAACTGCACCCCAGGGGATGGTGCTTTCCCCCTTTCTGTTCACCCTCTACACGTCGGACTTCAAGTACAACTCCCAGCAGTGTCATCTACAAAAGTTCTCGGATGACACTGCTATTGTTGGATGTGTATCTGGGGGGGGACAAGGAGGAATACAGGGAGGTTGTTACCGACTTTGTGGAGTGGTGTTAGAAAAATCATCTGGTTCTCAACACCAGCAAGACAAAAGACATGGTGATTGACCCCGGCAGAAATCACCAGTACTCACACCGGTGAGCTTGCAGGGCTCAGATATAGACATAGAGGAGGTGGTGGACAGAAGGATGCTGGCAAAACTAAAACCCATCATGCATAACCCCTCCCACCCCCTGCACAACACAGTAGAGGCTCTGAACAGTTCTTTTAGAATGAGACTGTTACATCCCCAATGTAAGAATGAGCGTTACCGCAGGTCATTCCTCCCCACAGCAGTCAGACTGTACAACACATCACTGCAGTGATAAACTAGGCGAAATTATGAGGGACTATGCAATAATCTACTGTGGTGCAATATTTCAGCTCCTGGGGGTGAAAACCATCACTAGCTATAGAAAACCCTCCCCCACGGCTGTGGAGGACCGTCAACTGTCAGACGACCTGAATGTATTCTACTGCAGATTTGACAATCAACACTCCCCCTCACCCTCCCCACCTCAGATCCAGCAGCTGCTCCCCCAACAACCACCACCCTTCCCTGCAGCCCCCCACCTCTATCTCTAATGATGAGTGAAAAGGATGTGCATGGCCTCTTTAAAAGACAAATGGTCAGAAATGCTCCAGGCCCAGATGTTGTGACCCCCTCTTGCCTGAAAGTGTGTGCTGATCAGCTGGACCCCATCTTCACACTCTTCTTCAACAGGTTACTGGAGCTGTGTGAAGTCCCCTCCTGCTTCAAACGCTCCACCATCATTCCAGTCCCCAAGAAAACCCCCATCAGTGGACTGAACGACTACAGACCTGTCGCCTTGACATCTGTAGTTATGAAGTGCTTTGAAAGACTGGTGTCGGCCCACCTGAAGGACATCGTAGACCCCCTGCTGGACCCCCTGCAGTTTGCCTACCGGGCAAACAGGTCAGTGGACGATGCAGTGAACATGACATTGCATTACATCCTGCAACACCTCGACTCCCCAGGGACCTATGCACAGGCCCTCTTTGTGGACTTCAGCTTGGCATTCAACACCATCATCCCGGACATCCTCCACTCCAAACTGACCCAGCTAACTGTGCCTGCCCCCACCTGTCAGTGGATTACGAGCTTTCTGACAGACAGGGAGCAACAGGTGAGGCTGGGGAAAACCACATCCAGCACCCAGACAATAAGCACAGGCACCCCCCAGGGATGTGTGCTCTCCCCTCTGCTGTTTTCACTCTACACCAACGACTGCATCTCGAAGGACCCCTCTGTCAAGCTCCTAAAGTTTGCAGATGACACAACGGTCGTAGGTCTCATCTGAGATGGCGACGAGTCAGCCTACAGACGGGAGGTTGAGCTGCTGGTATTGTGGTGTAGCCACAAGGACCTGAAGTGGACGTCCAACATCAGGACCATCACCAAGAAGGCACAACAGAGGATGTACTTCCTGCACCAGCTCAGGAAGTTCAACCTGCCCCAGGAGCTGCTGATACAGTTCTACAGATGAATCATCAAGTCTGTTTTGTGCACCTCCGTCACCATCTGGTTTGGCTCAGAAACCAAACAGGACAAGTACAGACTTCAGCAGACCAAACAGGACTGCAGAAAAGATCATTGGTGTGAGCCTGCCCTCCATGGAGGACCAGTACACCACACGGGTTAAAAGGAGGGCGGAGAGGATCACTGCAGACCCCTCACACCCTGGACACAATCTGTTCGAACTCCTCCCCTCCGGACGGCGTTACAGGTCACTGTGCACCAAGACAACCAGGCACAGGAACAGTTTCTTCCCCCTGGCTGTCACTCTGATGAACACTCAACCAATGACCATATGATTGGACAATAAACCTCAGTGCAACACCTGTGTATATACATTGTACAGACTCGTACAGGTCTCTAGTACCCTGTTTTAAGTACTCTATTTTTATCCCTAATTATCTCATTTCAAAGAACAGTCCTTCATTGTTTGCATTGTTACTGTCTGTTCATACTGCTTATTCTGCATTGTTTGCACTTTATGCTGCTTGTAAATACTGCTTAATTTTGGTTATATTACACCGCCTTATGCTGGTTTACTGTTTGCACATTGAGAGCCGATGTACCTGAGTCAAATTCCTCATGTGTCCAACACACCTGGCCAATAAAGCTGATTCTGATTATGAAAATAGAGCCAGCTTTTTGAACCCATCCCTACACAAAGTATCTAAGAGATTCTGTATGTTTTTAGTCAATATAATAATAATAATAACTAGAGAAATGCATTTCTTGTCATAAATGCGTGTGGATGCTAATAAGCTCAAAGATTGTCCTGAAAATGCCTGAAATCAATTGCTGAAACAGCTGAAAGATGAGAAGAAATGGCTGAAGTTCTTTGTTGAAATAGTTGAGAAGAAATGGCTGAAGTTCTTTGTTGAATAATCTGAAGGATGAGATGCAATAAAGTAGGAATGGCCTCGAAGAGCTGAACATTTTGATACCTGAATGGCTTTTCTAGCTGAAAGTATGCTGAACTTATTAAGATGTGAAAATAGCCCAATTGGACCCCACAAAGGAGGTAAAACAAGTAGGTGTGAACAGGGGAGAGACAGGGAGAGGGAGAGGGGGAGAGAGACAGAGAGAGGGAGAGGGGGAGAGAGACAGAGAGAGGGAGAGGGGGAGGGGGAGAGAGACAGAGGAGTTATGTAGTGGTATGTCCCAATTGCGCTGCATTTTATG